CCGATACTTCTAGACGGTAGATGGGCCGTCAGTAACATCAGCCATCGCTTGTTAGAGCCAATCACCCCTTTGCCCCCCACAATGGTGACAGCTGAGAGACCCGAGACGCCTTCTGGGGAGACGCCTGCCCTGACTTCGGGCCCGGCCTGGTGGCCCAGGCTCACGGTGACGCTTGAAGGGAGCCAGGAAACGTGATGTGCGTGTGTGCAGACCCTTACGGCTGCAAGATGTGCAGTCTGCTGCAGAGAACCTAAGACAGAGGAAAGGGGCCCCGGGGCCTGGGCGGGGGGTGCCTGCCCCCGACAGTGGTGGAGGCTGCCAGCCCCGCTGTGCTGCGCGGTGGGGGCAGTCAGCACCGTGACCAGCGCAGCTTCCTTTAAAGAGCAGCTACTGTCGCGTGCGTCGGGTAGATCTGGGCGACGGCTCACGTTCCATAAGACAGAGAAAATTGCTGCATTCCTCTTTCGCGGTGGCTTCCCGTCCAGTCCCATTCGCTTGTCACCTGCACTGTGTCACTTCCCTGGTCCTGTCCAGGCGTGGCGGCTGGGGGCGCCCTCCGGGCACGCCTGCCGCTTCGCACGCCAGGCCGGGCCCTGCATCCCAGTTCATCCCAGTTCCATCGGAGCGGGGCTGGGCCGGGGCTGGCCCGAGAGGAGCAGCGCGTGCCTGTCCCAAGGGTTCTGCACACCTGCGTCTGGCCCTCACACAGCCTGCGCTTCACCCCTGGACAGCGCTGCAGGCCCACGCCGCTGAGGGCTGCTGTGAGGCTCAGAAGCGAGTGTTCCCGTTTCTAGCGTGTTGGGCTGAGGCGTGAACAGGGCTGTTTGCCCACGGCCAGCACGGTGCCCCGGGCAGCAGTTCCTGTGGAGGGGGGACCTCGGAGGAACAGCCCTGACGGGGGCAGGGCAGGCGGAGGAGGGCAGTGCAGGCAGGTTTACTGGAGGCAGAGCGGCCAGGAGGAGGAGGCTGGGGAGGCCTCCAGGGGTCCAGGTGGCATGGGTCAGGTCCACAGGGAGGGCAGGCGGGAAGTTTGGGGAGGCTGGAAGGGAAAGGATGGGGAGCGGGGCTGACCTCTAGAGCTGACCCTGGGGGCCTCTGGGCCTTCTCCCCACGGAGGCGGCCTCACCTCCAGCCAGGTTCTGAGGCTGCCAGGTCGGCCAGGTGTGGCTCTGGGCGGCAGGAAGCTCTGTGCCTTGCTCTGCCCCAGCGACGCTGCTGGTGGACAGGCAGGCCGCCTCCCGTGCCTCTGGGCCCGCAGCCCTCCGCAGGGATTTGGCAGAGACTGACTGCCCACCGTGCATTCAAGAAGACCCTCTGAGGGCAGCGTGGGGGTGGGTGGAGCGGCTGCACAGGGGGCGCGGACAGGCCAGACGTGGGCAGAGCGAGGTCGGAGGGCGAAGGCCGAAGCGTGGGCGTGTGGGGGAGCTCCTGGGGCGTCGAAGGGGGTGCGAGCTCCATTTCCGGCAGCTGCAGCCCCTTGACGGCAGCCCTAGGAGGGGAGAGAGACTGCCCTTTGGTTTTTCGCGCCCTGATGGAGGGCGGCGTCGGCTGTGTGCGCTGGGCCGCAGTGGGCCCGTGGGCCGCGGCTCGTCAGGCTGGCTCTGAGACCCTCGCTCCTGTCCCCTGCTTCCTTTGCTGGGCACGGTCGCTGTTGGGCTTCACCCCCCGGTGAGTCTGCCCCTCCACGACCCCTGGGTCTCCACCTGTATCTTCTCGTGACTTTCTCCAGCTCTTACCTTCTTCGACTTCTGCCACATACACTCTCATTAATTCTGTTTGTCCCACAAGGTTGTTCTCTGTGTCGTCACCACCTTGCCCCGCGCCCTGGCTCACCAGCAGCTGGCACAGTGTTCTGGGGTGCAGGGAAAGTTTTGTTGAGAATGAGCAGAATGCCAAGGCTGGATTTAGCTAAACGTGCTTTTAAATAGTTTTTACCGCGCTGAGCAAGAGTGTAAATTGCAAAAGGCGCATGTAGAATGCAGATGAAAATGACTTTCGTCAAGTTCACATTGTGGGAAATAATACTTTTCCTCTGAGCTCATATTATAAAAAGTCGTATGAGACTGTTCCCAACTGGCTGGAGAACGGCCTGCACATGACCTCATCAGTTGGAACGGAGCGCGAAATAAAACACGACGTCTTTACCCTTTTATGCAGGATCTGTGTAGACGATTTTTAAATCACAGAGGCTCCTTGAACTGCAGGAGAATAGTGCAGGCCCACAAAGGAAATAAGAATAAAGCAGCACGCTTTAGGTCACTGAATGTTAACGAGAGAGGGGCGGTAATGGGGTCCCACTGCTGCCCCCAGCGGGCAGCCCTGGGCGGCATGGGCTGCTGCTTGGCTGCCCCGGCCAGCCAGAGGGGGCGGCTCCCGGTGTCTGCCGGCAGGGAGGCTCCCTCCCCCGGGACCAAAGTGGCCCCCTGGCGTCCCAGCCCTCCTCTGCTCGGCCAGCGGAGTGCAGCAGCAGCAGCGGCCCTGGCAGTCCAGACCCCAGACCATGTCGGGATATATTGCATAAACACTTTGGGCCGGTGACTCACTGAAGCAATGGATTTTTAAAAAAAAATATGTATGCATACAGAACTGGGGTACAGGCGAGAGGTGAGGTGAGAGGATTCACCAGAGACAACATGGGGAGCAGAACAGGCAGACTGACGAGGTCCACTGCTGAGGGGAGCAGCGGGCGGGTCAGGTGAGTCTGCCGCGCCATGGGGGTCACCCCGGGGCGGGGATCAAACTCACACTGAAGTGGCCTTAGCTTCTTAGTGCTGCGCTCTGACCTGCTGTGACACCAGGGAGGGTCCAGAAATGGATGTTTTTACATAAAATGATGTTTACGTTGCAGTTTAAAAACCCAGACATTTTCTTAGAATACCATCCAGGCAGGTTTGTTTCACACAGAGCCAGGGCGTTTTGCGCGTTGTTCTTTCTGCCTCTTCAGACGGACGCGCCGATGTCCTCAGCGGGAGCCCGCAGGTCTTTGGGGGCCGGGGGGCCGGAAAGCGTCAGGTGTCCCAGTCTTGGCCTCAGCTGACTAATGAATGACTCTTCTGGGATTTGGTGGTGGTGGAAACCTTTCATTCACTGCTCATGAAACAACAAAAGGGTTTGAAATGGGATGGAGCGCTTCTGTAAATACAACTCTCATAGTCATTGAAAATGAGACTCAGAAGGGTTGCTGCAGGAACAGCGCTTCTGTAAATACAACTCTCATAGTCATTGAAAATGAGACTCAGAAGGGTTGCTGCAGGAACAGGAGTAAGAGCAGACGCTAAGATCTCGTTTCGGAGACTTGGCAGTAGCCAGCAGATCCTCTGGGAGAGCAGAGGAGGGCCGGCATTCTGAGTATCTTCTTGAGTGAGACCCGCGGGCTGCTTCAGGGCCTGACCTCCGGCTGGTGAGCCTGGGCGACTCGGCTCCCTCTGCGGCTCCGGCCTGGTAAGCTGTGAGCATTTTAAGTTTGCAGAGCCGAGCACGCTGTGAAATGAAGCCAGGCACTTGGCGTGCATGCGCCATGAGTCAAGTTTGACATCAGTCTGGACTGGGAATTGACTGGAAGGTTCGGCGTTGGGCTGTGGCTCCGCTGTGGAGTCTTGACCCAGAGGCATGCATGAGCAATACTTCCCGTTGGGCTTTGGCCATTAATCTGTGGAATGAAGCAAGAACTGGAGAGGAAAATCGAGAGCCTGCCTTGGATTTCCTGACGTCCTGTTGAATCAAAAAAGCAGTAGGAGGCCCGTTCCTTCCTGACAGAGGCCCCGCTGTCCCCTCTTTTGACGCTCCCAGCGCCTGTCTCCACGTTGGAGACGGTCCCGTAACCCACACTTGGGATGGCCAGTCACCCTGGGCCAGTATCTGCCTTCTGCTTATTCCAGGTGTTTTACAGGCCCCTTCCCCGGTTATGTAACTTTGATCAAACCCAGATGCTGCAGGATGTTTGATAGAAGAGGTCAGATGGCATGTGAGAAGAAAAGCATTTCTGTATCCCTGGCTTGGGTTTAATTTCCTGTGCGGCGGCCCTGCCAGAGGCGCGTGCGTGTGACCCTGAGGCTGGGGCCCAGGAGGGGACACAGATGCGTTTTCAGGACGGCTCGCCGGGTGTCTCCGTGTCCGCTGACTTCTCTTCTGAAGTGTCCCTGTTTTCATGATTGTAAACAGTGGAGAGATCCTGTCTCTAGCAGGGAGAGCTAGAAATAAAGGTGTAGGTCTGAGGCTGAGGACTCGAAGGTTGCCGGCAGGTGAGCGCTGGGTGGGGTTGTAGGGGAGAGCTGGTCCTGGCAGGCGGTGGTGAGGCTGGAGAAAATGGCCCTCGCCTCTGTCGGTAGAGAAGAGTGGACAGAAAATGTTTGTCATTCTACACCCTCTTGTACCACTTGGTATTAATTTTGATATATTTTAATGCTCTAAGCAGCAGACTTTCATATTATAAATGAACAATATACAAGACATAGGGAGACAGACTATTTTTAACTGGGTTAAATTTTTTTTAAGATCTATTTTTTTATGTGGGAGAAAAACTGGGGTACAGGCCAGAGGTGTTGGGTGGCAGTGAGAGGATCCACCAGAGACGGAGCGGGGAGCAGAACAGGCAGATGGACTGAAATCCACCTCTGAGGGGAGCAGCAGGGGACAGGAGCGGCCCTGGGGGTCACTCCCGGGCCGGGGATCCACTCGAGGCCACAGTGGCTGGTGACAGCTTGCCAGTGCTGAGTCTTTAACACCCAGGCCACCAGGAAGGCCCTGAGTTAATTTTGAATTAATGAATTTTAAAAGCTTAAATTACTTGGGAATAGTAGCTACCACTTTGGAGTGTGAGTACTTTTTTTTTTTAGCAAGATTTGGAAAAGAACTGGTTAAAAGACTTTGAACCACCCATCTTATACTGTGTACACACATGTTAAGAAATGGAACAAATCAGGCATATATGATGTTGAAACAGACGTTTTTGCTGCTGATCATAAAAATAAATCCCCCCTTCTTGCCTCTTCCTCTTCCAGAAGCCCTGCAGAGGCCAGTGGCGTCCGACTTCGAGCCCCAGGGTCTGAGCGAGGCGGCTCGATGGAACTCCAAGGAAAACCTTCTCGCTGGTCCCAGTGAAAATGACCCCAACCTTTTCGTTGCGCTGTATGATTTTGTGGCCAGTGGGGACAACACTCTAAGCATAACTAAAGGTAAGCAGCCGCGGGCAGCCGCGGGGTGGAGAGACGGGAGCGGGGGAGGCGGCCACTGGCCTCCGCTCTGCCTACTGGAAGGGCAGACTGAGCCTTGGGAGCGTGGACACGTCACCCCTACGACAAAACAAAACAGTGCAGCCTTCCTAGAAGAGAGTCACGGCCTTAATCAAGGAGAAGCGGTCCCGCGCCGGTCCTCAGCAGCACTGACTCCCCGGCCCTGAGTAGAGCATGACGTCTGCGCCAAACACTCTCCTAAGTCGCTGAGCATCTCCCGTGTGCTGACTGGCGCGCACGTGCCAGGCTTGGGAGCGGAGCTCTGGGCTGCCCGAGCGTTCAGTGCCGCCCGGGACCACCGCCGCACCGCGCCTCCGTTTTCACACACTTGTAGTGGGTGCGTTTGGGGGCTTGTGTAAGCGAAATAGGTATCTGCGCCTCGGAGACCCCAGGGGAGATGCCAGGATGGACGCCGGAGCGCGAAGCCGCCGTTGAAGTCGAGGTGCCTGATTGCTGTGCTGGTTTGTTCCCAAGGTGAAAAGCTCCGGGTCTTAGGCTACAATCACAATGGAGAGTGGTGTGAAGCGCAAACCAAAAATGGCCAAGGCTGGGTCCCCAGCAACTACATCACGCCGGTCAACAGCCTGGAGAAGCACTCCTGGTACCACGGGCCGGTGTCCCGCAACGCCGCCGAGTACCTGCTGAGCAGCGGCATCAACGGCAGCTTCCTGGTGCGCGAGAGCGAGAGCAGCCCCGGCCAGCGGTCCATCTCGCTGCGCTACGAGGGCCGGGTGTACCACTACAGGATCAACACCGCGTCCGACGGCAAGGTAGGCCCGCGCCGCGGCTGGGCTCACCGCGCTGCCGGGAAGCTCTGCCCGGTGTGTGAGGAAGCTGAGTGGGCGGCAGGCGTCACTTGCTGGCTGGGAGACCCACTCGGGCCCTCGCCCGCCTCGCGCCCAGCGGGCGGCTCTGGGTCTGCCTGGAGCCTGCCACCGCCCGCCGGTTGCGCCAGTGGAGCGTCTGCTGGGCTGTGGACGCCGCGCTCGGTCGGGCTCCACCTCTGGCCGGTGTTTAGAGGCCGCCTCCCGGCCCTCCTGGAGCCGCGGCTCTGCGCACATGTGCACACGCGTCCCCCTCGTGTGTGGCTGGGAACGAGCTGCACTTCCGCGTCGGCGACACGGGGGCCACGGGGTCACGTGCCCAGGCCAGAGCCCGGGCTCTGCGGCAACACGGCGGCCGGGGACAGGCTGCGAGGCTGTGCGCAGGGTGGAGCTGGGTTTCGTATGTTTAAGGCGCGCCTGGCGCGCTCTGTGCTGAAACAGAGAAAGAACAAAAAGAACTACTGAGAAAAATGGGGCGCCGGCCACCGACGTGTGCGCGTGGGCCGAAGAGGCGGCTGCTTGGGCCCTCTCGTGCTGCCTCCTGCTGGCCGCCTCGCTGGCGGGTCTGAGGTGTCCCGCAGGACGGCAGTCTGCCGGCGGGGACTCCCGCCTTCCGGAGCCCCGGTGGGGACGCCACCTCGCCCCTCTCCGCTGCAGTGCGTGCTGATGTTTTGTGTCTAACCTGTGTCTCAAAAGATGGCGGTGTGACGCCAGCCGCTTCGTAGTGGCCGCGCCTGCGGGGGCCACGGAGCCCACACACTTCCGCACCTTGCGCCCCTGGCCAGCTCTACACTGCCCCGCGCGAGCGTCCTTTACGAGGGCGCCCGGTGGCCCTCGCTTTGCACTTCCAGTCCGCCCCGGGTCAGTGTGGCTTCGGGTCCCTAATCTGCCGTCCTCACCCGCTGGGCTGTTCCCATGCAAGCCCAAGACCGAGTGTCAGCTCCTGTCAAAGTGCGCAGGGCCTGCGGCCGGGCCGTCAGGGGCGTGCAGGCGCGCACTCGCGGGCTTGGCTGCATCCCCACGTCCTAATGCTGCCTGGCCCCGTCCTGTTCCCGCCACCGAGCGCCGTGGGCCTGCAGGGCCGTGCTGCTGCCCGCGCCGTGCTCGCACGCAGACTGCGCGGCCCGGGGCCTGTGAGCAGAGACGGCCTTCGGGGGCGCACGGAGCGGCGTGAGGGCTGCTTTTCCCCGGAGCAGTTTGATCAGCACCTGGGACAGATGCAGGCAGGCGAGCTACGGCGGGCAGCGCGCTGGCCCCTCGGAGGCCTGGGCCGTGCGGCGCTGGCGCCTGGAGGAGCGGCTCGCCCTCAAGCTGGGGTGTGCGTGCCGGCGGGCTGGGAGCCCCGCTGGGGGAGCCTTGTCCCTGCCCCTGGGGGTCTCACCCGCTAACCCCAGGAAGGTACCGTGTCCCGCCTCCCGGGCACCGACTCCCCCCTCAGCTGTCTGGGCACCGAGGCAGGGTGGGGGGCAGACCCTGAGGCCGCGCGTGGGGGAGCCAGCCCAGGGGGCGGTGCTCAGAGGGTGTCCCTGCAGCCGGGCGTCGAGCTGCCCCTCACGGTGCGGGGCTTTGAGGCGGCCTTCGTGGATTTCTAAGGGGGAAAATCGAAGACTTGTTGGAGGGACAGTGGGGTTAGTGAAATTTGATTCTTTCTTTCAAATTAGCGAATCTTTAGAAAACAACTGTCTTTGCAAGGTTCTCCACGGCCCAGGGGATTCCTCTTGCCTGACTGACCTCTCCCTTCCTGCGCCTGAGCCTCCGGCTGGTCAGTCAGCCCAGGACCACGCGCTGAGGGCCGGAGCCAAGTGGCCCGGCACCCGCAGAACGGCAACGCCAGTTGCGGCCGTGGCCGTGGCCGCTAGCCCGCCTCGAAGACCCTCGCGGCCCTGGGATTCGATTGTCGGTCTGATGCTCTCCGAGCTTGGGCCCTCTGCTCCCTGCAGAAGTAGGGACTGGCCTTGGCCACCACCCCGCTAGCCGCGCTCAGTTGCTTGGTCACTTGTGTGTACACCTGACTCCCTTGTGGGGGGCGCCGCCGTCGAGTCCCTCGGGCCCCGGGCCGTCCCCCCCTTGCTCCGCAGCGAGCTGCCGGGTGACGTGTCTGGCAGGGCTCTGAGGCGTCAGGTTCAGGGCCGCAGGGGCGGCGCCTGGGCCACGCTCGGCAGAGGTGCTGGCGGGCGCATGGTGGCCCTGCCCTGCCCTGCAGACCCAGCGCCTTACTCAGGGCTGCGCCCTGCGGGTGGGGGACCCTCTCGGGCAGGGCAGCAGCCTGTGCAGGGCCTGAGGTGGGGCTCCCCAGCAGGCAGGTGGAGGAGTGCCGTCCGGGGCCTGCTAACAGAGTCTGGCCGTCGGGAAGCCTCTGGCGTCCCACTCGGCCGGTCACTCCTGCCGTGAGATGGGCAGCTGGCAGGCCGGCCAGCACCAGTGTGCGTGTCGGTGCCAGCCTGATGGCCGCTGCCCAGCGTGCTCGCCGTACTTCTGCTCCGGCCCGCGGGCGCCCGGCAAACATTAGTCAGCGCACCGGAGCCGGTCAGGCCCGCGCTGACCCACATCGACCCAGACATGACGTCAGAAGACGGCGCGGCACTGGAGGGGAGCGTTTTAATATTTCATAAGTGTCAGTTATGTAAATTTATGTTGAAAAATGACCCGAGTCAGAGTCCGTAAATTAATAATTGAAAAGGATAGTCTGTCCATTCTGCAAAACCTCCCTAACGCTGAAGCCGGGGATCCTGTGGAAAGTCACGGAGCCAAGGACGATCTATGTGAAGGGCTGGGGCGCCATCTGCACACAGAGGCTCTCGGGTGGGCGGGGCGAGGGCGGGGCTCTCGGGTGGGCGGGGCGAGGGCGGGGCTCTCGGGTGGGCGGGGCGAGGGCGGGGCTCTCGGGTGGGTGGGCAGTAGGTGCTGAGCCTGGGCCCAGAGACCTCACCCTGCACCCCTGCTCTCCCCCTGAGCTCCACAGCTGGGGGCTCCCATTGCAGGCAGGCCTTCTGGACACTGTTCGGGCGCGCCATCAGCTGAGCTGCCCCTGGGGGGCCAAGGGCGCCTGCCACCCGCAGACTCGCATGCCTCGGCCTTCACAAGCTGCTGAGTCTGGGTGTGTGGGCACTGCACTGGGTGGGGGGCTCGGGGGTTGCTGCCCACTGCCCCCACTCGCTCTGCCCTTGCAGGGCTGAGCACCACAGGCAGCAGTTCCCTTGGAGGCTTCTCCTCGGGGCTCTGAAGTGCAGGGGAGGGTCCCCCAAAGACTCTGCCACACACGGGCACTGCCTTGCAAAGCTCCAGCCTGTTGGACAACCCGCGGCTTGTTTAGATGCTATTTTAGTAGAACGCTACCAGAAGTTTTGGAGTCCCTGTCATCTAAGCCAGAATTTGCCATCAGCTGCCTAATTTTTAAAAACTTGCTTATGTCACAACCCCAAGCAAAGAGAAAATCTTGTTAATGAGCCCTCGTCACCCTCTTCACAGTTGTAGAGGAAGTCAGCTGGTGCTTTGTTACTGTTTTCTTGAAAATACTGTGTCACCTGAGGATGCCAGCGTGCAGAGGGCAGTGGTGCCCGGCCCGCGTGAGCTTCCAGCTGCCGCTTCCCGCTTCTGAGGTGCTAAGGTGCCTGGTGCCCGTCCTGCCCACGTCTGCGCAGCCTGCGCACGTCTCAGGGCGAATCCTGGTGCGATCTCACCTACCCCTCCCTCGGCGCTCAGGTGAGCACGCCCATCCAGGTGTGTGCTGGCCCGGCCCAGGGGACCTGGCCCGTCACGGTGTGGCCTTGTCTTTGGTGAGGCCACGTCCTCCCCACATCGCTGAAACAAACGAGAGGAGAGAGCTGTCTGTGGCCACGTTCTTGCTTTCTGTCACCTGCTCCTTCCAACCCATCCATCTCAGCTGAGTCCGACCCAGGGGGCAGGGGGGTGCCCGAGCAGGCCTCCAGCCGCAGTGGGGCTCAGCTGCGAGCCCCGCACTCGTGCCTGAACCCCTTAGCCGCGACGGAGGCGTGCAGCTGTGTGGGGGGCACCCCTCTGCGGCGGGGCGCCGTGTAGGCACTGGGACTTCAGGTCGGGCCTCTGGTGCTTCCAGCAGCTCACGTCAAGGCAGCGGGGACGCAAAGGAGATTTTGTCTTATTTCGTGACTTTGGCCTCCGATCACTGTTCTGGTTCGTTCCACGTTGTAGGTACTGTGCTAGCACCGTACTGAAGTGACTGTTGTGCAGTCAGCTAACACTTCATGAGTGAACAGCGGCGCAGCGGGTGCCTCTTGTGAGCCCGTTCTCTGGTCCTGCCCCTGGGATACAGCTGAGATAGCCAGCAGTTCCGCTCTCTACCGCGGAGCTGCCCATTTGGTGTGGTCTGGTAGGCTGTTCTGGGGGCCTGGGGCCTCTCGGGTTAATTAACGGCAATAGCGTCCCCGGGCCCAAAATGTAACCTGCCAGATCATACCAAAGAGGGGTGTCCTTGCGCGTCTCAGGGCCGCGTGGCTGAGGGCGCTGCCCTGGCGAAGCTGGGTCTGCAGTGAGGCCGCAGTCACGGGCAGACCGCGGGGCGCCGCCTCTGGGGCAGGGGCTGGGGTGCTCTGTGGGGGTGTGTTGGCCTGAGAGGTGAGCGGGAGCTGGGCCGAGAGCTTGGGCGAGTGCAGGGCCAGGCCCGGGGGGCGGCGGCTGTGGCTGGCAGGGGACTCGGGGTTCGGGGCTCCTCGCAGGAGCCAGACTGGGACGGAGGGGCGGCGCTCCGAGGAGGGGCTCGAGGGAGGGCTCGGCAGCGCCAAGCCCCGGGCAGTCACTGCTGCTCCAGAAGGCGGCTGCCGCCCGCACAGAGAAGGCCCAGCGAGCGCTTTCCTGGGCACGCGGGCTGCGGGGCGCTGAGCCTGCCGTGCCCCGCCTTGCGGCCAGCCTGTGCCCTCCTGTGGGCTGAGCCTCCTTTTGTCCTCAGCTCTACGTGTCCTCAGAGAGCCGCTTCAACACGCTGGCCGAGCTGGTGCACCACCATTCCACCGTGGCCGACGGGCTCATCACCACCCTCCACTACCCAGCCCCCAAGCGCAACAAGCCCACGGTCTACGGCGTGTCCCCCAACTACGACAAGTGGGAGATGGAGCGCACGGACATCACCATGAAGCACAAGCTGGGAGGAGGCCAGTACGGGGAGGTGTACGAGGGCGTGTGGAAGAAGTACAGCCTGACGGTGGCCGTGAAGACCTTGAAGGTAGGCCCAGCGCCCCTGCCCGCTGCCCGCTGCCCGCTCGCGGCTCCTGCTCTGCCGCCGTGGCCTCCGCGTCCAGGCGGCCGCCCCGCACCTCGGCGTGCCCGCGAGCAGTGCTCGCCGTGGGAGTCGTTTGGGAGGCCAAGCCCTTTCCGTGGCAACTCTTCACGCTGTGGGCTGCCGCTCCCGCTGTGTGGTGGTTCGGTCACTTCTGCAGTCTGCGTGCTGAGGGAAAGCGAGCGCAGAAGGCTGCTCGCGCGCGAGGAGGTGGAGGCCAGGCCCGGGGCGGCTGTGGCTGGCAGGGGACTCGGGGCTCGGGGTTCCTCACAGGAGCCACCTTGGGACGGAAGGGGCAGGGCTCCGAGGAAAGGCAGGGCGGGGCCCGGGGCACCCCCACGCCCCTTCCTGGCTCGTGCACCCTCTCAGCTGAGGGCCTTCGTGGCTTCCGTGGCTTCCGGGGGGCTTTCCCTGTTGAGGTTCTTTGAGATCCTCAGGGTGCCAGGACAGGAGATGGCCTTGGCCACCTCTGCGGGCTGCCTGTGGCGGGAGCGCCCCCTGGCGTTGGCCTGCGATACCGCCACGTGTGCCGCTCAGCGGAGAGGGAGCCCCCTCTTGTCACTTTTAGAAAAGAAAGAGAACGGAAGCACCCTCCACAGAAAAAAGGAGTCAGGCGTGCACATGTGCCCCAGGGCTCAGGTCCAGGTTTTTTTTGTTTTTTTTTACAAAGTTTATTTTTACATCATTTTGCACATTTTTTTTTCCATCTCGATTGTAATCCCCACTGGTTTCCCATCAGGTCCAGGTTTTGTCTGGTGCCAAACACTGGCCTCGGGGGTCAAGTCTCCCTCCCAGGCAGGCCAGTGTGCTGGGGCAGGCCGCCTTCCTCAGCCGGCTGTCCCACAGGCGAGGGCGTTTAACACAACGAAGTGTTTGCTTAAGTAGCATTTCTCGTGGCCCCTCTGTTTCTCGGTCCCTGGGATGTGAGGTGAGTTAGCCAGAGCGCTTCACCTCGGCCAGAGACTGCAGCCGTGTGGCGCTGGGGCTCTTTGCCCCAGCTGTCAGCGCTTCTCTCCCAGCGCCTCTCTGTACCAGGCTCCCGCCAGCCTGCGCCAGGGCTTAGCGTCGGCCCCATAGCGCGGCCATGTCTCCGCCGCAGGGGCACAAGCCCCCCCCCCAACCTGGGCTCAGGGGGGCGCCTGCAGGCAGCCCTGGGCTTACACCCTCAGACGGGGAGGAGGCGACTGCAGCTGGCCCCGAGGGCCCCTGAGCGCCAGCCACAGGCGTGCGTTTGACGGCCGCCAGCAGCCCCGCTCTCGGCCTTCCCTGCGCGGTGCGTGATGAGCAGGTCGCCCTGGAACGGCGTCTCGCAGGCAAGAGAAGCCTGAGCCTCAGATGAGCTGGCTGCGGAAGCGTGTAAGTGGGTGTTTGTGCAGCTGCCGTGAAGGCCCTTCTGTGAGTGGCAGAGCGGGAGAGGCCGCTGGTGACCCCCTGGTGGCATTTAGGCCCATAACTGGCAGAGTCACCACTGAAGGAAATGACCTTGAGGCTGTTAAGGCTTTACCGTTGGGCCCAAGTCTCTGCCTGAGTTATGGGCAGGCGGTGCACGCGGTGTCCCCGACCGTGGTTTTCGTGACCTTCCAGAAAGAGCCTGCACGCGGGGTGGCACCGTGTGCTGTGTCCTCTGCTCTGAGCACTGCGGCCGGGAAGCTGCGTCTGTGGGGACAGCACCTGGTGGTCCCCTCCGTGGGTCCCCTGGGCCGCCCACGCGCGTGCGCCCTCACCAACGTGCATTTGGATTTGGTTCTGTTTTCTCCTTCCCAAGAAGCGTTTGACCGAGTGCTCTGGCTGTGCGGGGGCGGGGGCGGGGGTGGTGCCCGTGCCCTCCTCTGCGGTGGGCTCTCTAGGGGTGTCGGGGCCGTCTCTGCGCTGGTGCGTCTCCGACTCCCCCGTGCTTTGGGGGCCACCGCTAGCCCCGCGGGGTGTGTTTTCCAGCGAGCCGATCTGGCCCAGGCGGGAGGGAGGCGGCGCTCCGCTTGGCACTTGGCTGAAGAACCACAAGGACATGTGAGAGCTGAGTGGGCACAGCGGGGGGCAGCCCTGAGGCGGCAGCCGATGGGGAGCTGCTCTTGGGGAGCGGCCTGCCGGCAGAAAGGACAAAGCCGCTTGGGAACTGGCCGCGTGGCGCGCCGACACTGTCCGCGGGCTCCCCGGGAGCAGGGCCGGCCCTCCTGGTAAAGGGGCGCCCCGCAGTGGGGCCTGCTGCTGAGCTGCCCTGGGGCAAGCGGCCGGTCTCTCCTTCTGGCGCTGCACAGACAGGAGCGAGGGGCTGGCCGTGCTGAGGGGCGCCACCTGCCCCAGGCGAGGCCGGGAGCCCCAGCTCCTGCACGCGGCCTCCGCATACCCGGAGGACTCCGCTTCAGAAGATGCTGGAATGTTCTAAAGTAAAAGTAAAGGAGCTTATCGGGGCAGCGCCAGGTTGTCTCCAGTTATCTAGTAAGTGGCCGCGGCAGGCAGTTTACATTAAGTGGAAGCGGGTCCTGGCCAGGGAGGGACCCCCAGGCCGCAGCAGACCGCTCCTGCCCGCCACCTGCCTGTTCCGCCCCCACCCCGTCTCTCTCCACCCCTGCACCTCTGTCTGGCTCAGCTCTGTGTGCATCTTTTAAACGTTTCTTTTTAAGCAGAGGCAGGTCTGATTCCAGCAGGGGGAGACAAGCTCACACTGATCTTTTTTCTGTAAGAGAAAGAAAAGGAGACTTAGTTGTGTGTGTAGAGAGGCCCACGGTGTTCCTTCTGCGTGTGTTTGTTTTCAAGATCTAGAGCATGGTCCTTTGAGAATTAAAAGAGTGCGTGAGTATTTCTGAAGATACTGCGCTGTGCGGTTTGTGGTGTGGGACTGTGAGAAGAACCGTCTGCTCGTCTGGGCAGCCTCGTGTGCAGGAGCTTTGACACTCCAGCCAAGCGGTCTCTTTCGCACCCCAACCCTGGCTTGAGTGGCGTTGCCCCCCCAGCCGGCGCGCACTCCTGCCTGACCTTGGCGAGTCACCCCAGTAAAGCAGAGCCCCCTCCAGAAACCCGTCTGCTGCGATGTCAAGGAGCAGAGAGGACTCAGAAGAGCCCAGGGGCTGCGGGCCGCCAGCAGGAACGAGCTCTCGCCCCCCAGCTCCTCCCAGCTTGACAAGAGCAGCTCGCCCTTTTGGAAGAGAATAAACAGTTTCAGAGCTCCGGCCTGGCAGCGAGCTCAGTGATGGCTGGCACTCACGTGCCCTTCACGCTGCGGTGCGCGGGGCAGAGCCCCGAGGCCGTGGGCCGGTGGGTGGCCCCAGGCCCTGTGCGCCTGCCCCAGGTGCGCCCCGACACAGGCCTGGCCAGGGAACTCAGGCTCCACGCGGGGGCTTGGCGGGGTGTCTCTGCCTCGGCGGCCGACTCTCGTGGCCAACAGACACGCCGCCCCCCGCGCCCACGTGGGGCTCAATGGCCAGTGCCCGGGCGGCGGTCTCAGCCTGTGCAGGGCTCGGCGTCCGCGCGGCAGCGGCTGCGGTGTGTCCTGGCACCCAGCGCCCAGGCTGGAACCGCGACAGGTGTGTGAGGAGGTGTGGAACTGTCACCCCGCTGGCTCTGGGTCGTCGCGGGCACCTTTGTGCCCCGGGTGAGGCGCTGTGAGCCTGCCGAGACGTGCGGGACGTGGTGCAGGCGGGGCTGCGGGCTGTGCGGAGGGTTATTTTGGAGCTGAGCGATCGCCCTGAGGCAGTGGCGGTTGCCTCCTTAGGAGCCCACCAGGCCGCAGGCTGGCGGCGGGGTGGCGCCCCAAAACCTGGCACTTCGCAGACCCTTCAGGTGCTTTCTCTCCATGTGAAGCATTTTAGGGTCCATTGGAAACTGGACCCACATTCGTGACATTGTGTGCCTCCCCCCACCCTGGCCCACGAACCCCACCAAGGGAGGGGCGGAAGTGAACCCCACCAAGGCAGGGGCGGAAGTGAACCCCACCAAGGGAGGGGTGGAAGTGAACCCCACCAAGGCAGGGGCGGAAGTGCCCTCTCTGCTCTCACCGCTCTAACGTGCTGCCCCAAACCCCCCGCCCAGCCCCAGGGGAGGGCGTCGTGCACTGGGCGGCCGCTGGGCCCGTGGAGAGCAGAGCCCGGTCGGAAGCGCGGCGGGGACTGTCCTGATGTGTCAACCACGCAGGCACGCCTTGCCTTGCTCAAGTGAATTCGCTCCCTCCCTTACTTTCTGCAGGAGGACACCATGGAGGTGGAAGAGTTCTTGAAAGAAGCAGCAGTGATGAAGGAGATCAAGCACCCTAACCTGGTGCAGCTCCTGGGTGAGGCAGCGCCCCGAGCAGAGCCCGGGTTCTCGGGGGCCCTCGGGGTGGTCGGGAGCGGCCGGCTGGCCTCCGCTCTGATGCCGTTCGTGCCGCACGGGCGGGCGCAACCTGGGCAGAGCCTTTCATTTTGAGGTGACACCCAGAAGCCCTCCCGTGAAGAGCTCAGTTCGGCCTCTGAAAGTTGGGGTTTTCGGGGTGCCTTCACGGGCCTGTGAGCAGAAACGGCCATTTGGCGTCAGCCAGCAGCGACTTTGCCACGTGGTGGGAGCCTGGCCGCTGCCCCTGAACTCCGTGGGAACCTCCCGGCCCGGCCAGACCTAGCTCACGGCTGGAGCGGAGAGGGGCACCTCGCCGGCCCCTCGCACGGTGTTGGGGGCCGGCCGGGCGCCCGGCCGTGGGGCTCGCTCCAGAAGCCCTTTCGTCAGGGCCAGGGCTCTCTGGTCGTCACGGGTGGCGCCGCGCTGAAGCCCCCTGCGTCTCGCTGGCAGGGGTCTGCACCCGGGAGCCCCCCTTCTACATAATCACCGAGTTCATGACCTACGGGAACCTGCTGGACTACCTGCGCGAGTGCAACCGGCAGGAGGTGACCGCGGTGGTGCTGCTGTACATGGCCACTCAGATCTCGTCCGCCATGGAGTACCTGGAGAAGAAAAACTTCATCCACAGGTAGGCGCCCGGGCGGAGCCCGCGGGGCCTCGGGACACGGCCGGCGCAGTTCCCGGGGAGCCGGCTGGGCCCACGGCGGCACTGGCCCAGCCGGCTCCGACCCGGGGTAGGAAATGCTCCGCCTCAGGACCATTTTGCATCGAGTGGGATAGTAAGTGAAGTCCGCGCAAGTTCCGCCTAATTGCAGCTTGCTCTCCCCCTGCATCCTGCCACCCCCCAGCCGGGCAGCAGCCAGGGCCGTGTCTAGGCCGGGCCCCCCCCAAGCTGGGCAGCAGTCAGGGCCATGTCCGGGCTGGGGGGCCCCCCCAGCTGGGCAGCAGCGAGGGCCATGTTCGGGCTGGGGGGCCCCCTTCTTCCTAGCTGGGCGGCCCCCTTCTCCCTAGCTGGGCAGCAGC